TCGTGTTCCATGAGAGGACTAAACATATTGACGTTGATTGTCACTTCGTTCGAGAAAAAATGTTAAGTGGGAGCATCTCTACTCTCTTTGTGAAGTCTGAAGATCAACTAGCTGATATGTTTACCAAAGTGTGGGTCATAATCGGTTGAGGACTATTTGTTCCAAGCTGGAATTATATGATATATATTCTCCAGCTTGAGGGGGAGTGTTAGAACATTTATATATATATATATATATTGGGCCATGTTGTAATTATGTATAGTTGGTAGGGCCAGTATGTAATTAGCTCATTCTTGTACTTGTATGTAGGCTTCTTTTGTTCTAGGGTTCAATATATGAAACACAGCTTCCATCTCTCTCTCTCTTTCAATCTTCACAATAAGCTTTCACAGGGTCTACTTTAAAGGCCATGGATGGTTTAACAGTCCAGGAAGAAAAACCCTTCAAAAGATCATGAGCCAAGATAACATTGCTATGCATTCTCCTACCCCTTATAAAAGCAACATGTTCATACCCTACAACTCTAGAAAGGACAGAAAACAACCTATTTGCAAGGATCTTGGAGATAAATTTATAGGTTGAATTACATAAAGCAATGGACCTGTAATCCCCCACTTGTAAGCAATGATTCTTCTTTGGGATTAGTGAAATAAATGTACTGTTAACTCCAAGGGGTAAAGAACAACTAGAGAAGAAGTACTGGACATCATTTACCACCTCCTGACCAACAATATGCCAGAATTTTTGAAAGAATCGATTTGGAAATCCATCAGGACCTACATTCATCACCTCCCCCTTAATTTCATCCACTGTAACAGCCATAGGCAACATATGACTTTCTTCAACTCCAACCACACACCTAAGATTAAAATCATTTGGAGAAGAAGTTGGGACAACAGTGTACATATTAGAAAAGAACTCACCTGTCCACTTCCTAATCGTCTTCTGATCTCTAGATCTTTCACCATCAGCATTCTGTAAAAGAGAGAGAGAGTCGACAGCCCTCCTCTGCTGCAACTTCTGATGGAAGAACTGCTTGGAGCATCTGTCATTGTCCTTCAACCATAGAATTCTGGACTTTTGAGCCAGCATCACCTCCTCCATCCCCAAGGCAGACTCCAGATGCTGCTTAGCCAAGTGCTCACTGCTGATGAGATCTTCATCCATAGGGTTAGTCAGTAAACTGAGCTGAATTCCACTTAATTTATCTCTACACTTCATTACCGCTTCAGAAGCAGATGGTCTGGACTTATTCCATGTCTTCATTCCACCCTTGACCAGCTTTAATTTCTGTGTGAGTTGGTGAAAAGGGAGCCTTGAACTTCAGTTAACCAAGAATTTGCTACAATACCAGATACCTCCTCCATCATACACCACATCTTGAAAAATTTAATTGGCTTGGGACCATCAGAACAATCCACAGATGAAGAGATGACAAGGCCATAGTGATCAGAAATAGATGAAGCAGACAGAAGCATTTTGTAATTAGGGAAAGCTGCAAACCAATCAGAATTCACAAACCCTCTATCAAGTCTAGCCCATATCCTTTTCTGAGAAAATTGATTGTTAGTCCAAGTCCATACTCCATTGACAATTGACAGCTTCATCAAATTGCAATCAGAAAGAAGATCATTGAACTCATTTAGGATGCCATGTGGAACTGGTTTACCACCCAATTTATCCCCATGCGATCTAGTAACATTCCAATCACCATCCGCCAGCCATGCTCACTCACTAGAAGAAAAACCAAGTAACTGCTGCCATAAATATCTTCTATCTCGAGGAGTATTGGCTGCATAAATTGCTGTCATGAAGAAAACTTCACCTGACTTAAGGATTGTAATTCTTAACAGCATAGCTTGGGACATTGCAGAGATAACAGACACCTGAAAGATGGATGGATTCCAACCCACCCATATTCTCCCATTGTTACTTGAATTGTAATTTGCCTCCCAACTCCACTGCTATTTTAATATGAGATGAAATTCTTTGAAAGTTACAGGACAGAACTCTAGTCTCCACCAAACAAACGAAGGAGAGTTTAAAAGATTTGATCCAGAAAGCCACCTCCTCCTACATTTTAGGCCTATTTAGTCCTCTCATGTCCCATGATCCTATCATAAATTGGGGGCAGGAGTTGGTGGAACACCGCCAGTCTTACCCCTAGTAGCCCTATCTATACCAGGCATAGCATTCTTCTTCCTACCCTCTTCTTTCCTACCAAAGTTGCTATGGGCTGTTCTTCATCCTCAGCTTCAAGAGTGGATTCAGAAATATCATCCTTTCCTCTTACGTGCCTGGGGTCAATTTTCTCAGGCATTTCAACAAGCACAGCAAATGCATTTGGAGAGACAACCACAGGTTGAACATACCCTTGTTCTTTGATATACTTTTGGATTGGTTAAGGGTGATAAAACCATCTGAAGTCACATTCTCACATACAATAGCAACATTAGGGCTCTGAGGCACATCAATAGATACTTCATCCCGATGTTCCATGTTGGATGGATCTGCAGACATAGCTGGGATTGCTTCCATAGAAGCTTCATTCAAAGTAACAAGCTGTCCCTTCGATTTCACCACCCATTGTTCAGTAGTCTTTGGCTTTGAACTTTGTTTTTGAACTGCCTTAGGACAGTTCCTCTCGAAATGATCTATATGCTTGCAAATAGTGCAAATTTGAGCCTTCCACTCATATTCAATCCTTACTGAGCATTCACAACCATGAATCCGAGTTGTCACCATTTTTGGAAACTCCCCAAGCACTTCAATTTCAGCCATAGCCCTAACAAATAATCCTCTTTCCCTGTTAGCTTTTACATCATCCATGTAAAGAGGAGTAGTGAACTTTCAGACGACTTTTGAGATCGCTCTAGAACTAGGGGCATGAATTGGGAGATCATGTAGTTTGATCCAAAGAGGAATGGATTTGAGAGTGTCACGAACCAACTGATGCGCTTGTGCCATCACTTCACAATAACAGGTCGACCCTCAAAGGTGTGAAACCTAGAGAGGACCTACATCACAGCTTCCTCGCTTGGAACCGTACTTGGAAAAATCCGTCTTTCAATGATACAAGAACCGCTTCTGAATTCCATCTCTTTTGCACATACGATTTAAAAAACGGAAAATAGGGTTTATTACCCAACGCATAACATACAACTGAGAACTAGTATTCAACTTCTTCAATGTCTTCATCAAAAATCCCCACCACCTCCACCTTTCGGCAATCACTATGAAATTGCAGACTTGTGAATCAATTTTGAGAACTCTCCACAAGCAATGAGCTCCGTGTAGGCTGTTGAGGAGGAGAAGAGAGTGAAGGGGTGACCTCCCTCGGCATTGGGGAGGAGGAAGGATCCCCCTCCATGGTGAATAATACCTTCTTCAACCCCCAAAATCTAGCGAAACCCTAATTTCCAAGGAAACCCTAGAGTCGCCTTCACGCTTAAGTTTCTTTTATTTAAATATGGTTATGGCACTTGGCAAATACAGAATTATACATTACTAGAATGGGATTAATCTTTAGAAAATTCAATGTAAAGCTTGAAGTTTCTTGTATGATTCGATATGCAAATTTTGAAAATTTCATAAGGATTCTATGTTGAAGATGATTTTAAATTATTACCAGAGGCAAATCCAGATAGTTTCCATTATAATGAAGCAGTTTTGATAAATAAATAAAAAAAGCACTGCAACTTCAGAAATGACCCTGACATTTTTTTCAGTTTCCATGATGATCACATAAAACTTTAGCTGCCTTCATATATATGACTTTGTGACTTCATCAGGAGTTCATCCCACAGATCTAAATTTTTATTTGAACTTCCATAATGCTATTTTAACAGAAAATGTTGGCTAGAAAAGCCCAATCAAACCTTTATGTACCACCTGATGATTGTTAAACTTTAGACACTTGTCAAAGGTCTTTGATTCTGTAAAAAGCATGATCGTACAAAGACCAGTGAGCTGGAAGAAAACTAAATGCAGTCAATGACTGAAATGGACTTTTGCTCTGTAGTCTTCGGTGTTTGTAAAATATGATCGGATTGCAGATACTTGAAGTTGCATTGAAGCCTCATTTGACTCCTGTATCAAGCAAAAAATCATTGCACAAGCAATTGTTCACGAGGAAGATTAACTTCTATATTCTTTGCCACCACTATGAAGATCAAATCGGCACTACAAGTTAATATCATCATGACAATACTGTTTCCTATGGGATCGCCTTAGTCTAAGTGACACCTAAGTATCGCATCACCAAGCATCCTCGTTTTATAATTTCAAGCATTTCTGTCAAACGGTTTGCAATATGCATTTGAGATAGTTTCCAGATGTTGACCTTAAACGCAATGTAGACTCTAACCTGTCAGTGAAACCTTCTTAGTTGGAAGAGGTTGATGCAGTCAAGCAGCTCCTTTAAGCTTCGAACTTTGACACAAGAATTAGGTCTAGAAAAGCCAGAAAGAAAGAAAAATCTGACTGCCAGTTATTCCATTTGCTCTGGTATATAAAGGGAAAGGTTGGATTATCTACCGTTTTATGGACACCTCTATTAGCTTGTTGATATTACTGGAAAAGGATTGTGCAAAATCTCTGCCCCCAAAAGAGTAGATGAAAAAATTGGGTAAAAAGTACTCAGTACTTTTCAGCTTAAAATTTGGGTGCACCTCTACCGCCCATCCCATTTGTCCAATTTCATAACGACATAATTCTCTCTCTCGTGTGCGTGCACGCACACACACACATGTTTTATTTATTTTTATTTTTTTTTGGGCGTTGATTGATTATTTTCTATACTCCCACACATAGCTTTTATGAAACTTTTTTATTATTAGTATTAATTGCTAATCTGTGTGTGTGTGTGTGTGTGCATGATTGTTGTTGTGGACGCTACTTTTTTCTTTGATGCAATCTTTCATTATCTCATTTTCTTACCACATTCATCACTTCCAGACTTTTAACTAATTGAGAAATTTTGATCTGCTTTGGTGAAGCAGGGCGCTGATAAAATTAATAGCACAATTTCTTTATCAGTTCCCAGCAGCATTTTCACGGTCAAAGTTTTCCTCTAGTAGGTAGCCACATTTTTGCCAAGAGTTACACCTTAGATATTTTGGGTTAGTCCCTTGAAGATGGAAGATCATGTGCTTTGTGCTTTGGATGTGATCTATAAAGGGATTATGAGAGTTTGGAGCTCACTGCTCATCTACCAGCCAGTTGTATCATTACAAGCTCCTGTCAAGTAAAATTAAATGAACTAAAGTACAGTGATAACTCATTTGAAGCCTGGGTTTGTTGAGCTGTTTACATTCTCTCACTGTTTATGGTTTATACTAAAGCTCCAATCGCAATGAAACACGATCAGCCAGGATGGACACGGTGATGGATAGCTTTCAAACTGTAAGTTGTGGGTCTCTCCTGAATGATGTTCTTGGATTCCTTCCAATTGAAGGTGGAGGCTCCTGCACAAAGGTTAGCTGGCATATCTTGTTAATCTGTGAACGTTGCCCTTGATCTATGAATGGTCATTTCTACTCTTTTTTTAGGGTGATTGAGATGGCTGATTCACAAGCATGTGCGTGACTTTTCGAGCTTGCTTTGACAAGTAATTTAGTAGCAGAGGTGTCTACCCTCCCCATCCCTTCCTAGTTAGGGAGGCCAAGGGGCTAGGAAAAAGAAAGGTTTCAAATCCAAGGCTGTGGCCCGTGGGATGTTCTAACCTTCATTTTAGACAACTCAATCTGGCTGGTTAGAGTTAGACTTGGATTTTGAATTTTTACATTTGGAATTTATATAGTGTGTGAACCTGATTCTTGCGGATTGTTCAATCTGATAGTTTTGATACAGGCATATTCAAATTTTTACCTTGTGTATGACTGTATCATACATGACCCATTCACCCTTTTTGGTTTCTTTTGATGAGTATTCATTATATATATTTTTTTGTTTTTTTTGTGTAATTGAGAGTTTTTTTTGATCTTGAAACCTCATACTATAATAGACAGTTACGTAATTGAGGATATTTGATCCTTAGACTGGATTTATACATGACCCATCAATGACTTGAGAAACAAGCCAATTACAATGATAAATCTCAGATTTCCTTCTTTTTTTTTTTATTTTATTTCTCCATGGGTGATTTACAAATGAATGAATGAGCCATGTGGGGAGAAAAAAAAAAAATGTGTACACCATTAAGAAAGTTGTTCTCAAGTATAATTCTATTGGACATGCAATTGCAAAGTCTGAGCGAGCACATTTTTAGTTTTCAATTATCTACAGTACACATACCTTATATATATACATCTTCACGTAAAGGGTTGTTTTATACGACCCTGTTGCACATAAATTTATTACTCAGATGTGAGCAAGACTAAATTATTGCAAGATCATTTCTGTATTCCTGAATTAGACCACTGCTATCTGCCATTTGAAGCTTCTCATTCAACTTGGTCTTGTATTGATCATCTCTATCGTCTAGGTTACGCATCATTTCAACCTAAGGAAACAAAAATAAACATCGTCAATATTAAAAGTAAAAAAAAACATTGTATGAGGTTATTAAAAATGACTTAAAAAAGTTAAAACACTGCAAGCAAAATGGCATGTAATAGAAAAGATTAGAGAGAATTAATACGGCCGACCTTATTCATACATGATTAAGGCAAGGATGGTGATAGCATCCGACCTTTTTAATAAACCAATGATATTCAACTTAGAAAACTTCATATGGATGTAAAATGAGAACTAACTAATCTCACTTCACCTTCTTTTTTTTTTTTTTTGGGTAAATTAATCTCACTTCACATTTGGCAAAAGGAAAAAGTAAAAAACAGAAGTCTAAATAATTTAAACGTTCCTTAAACATCCACCACCACCACAAGCTGACTCCAATATCCTTGTGTAACTGAAAACAATGAAAGGTAAGGAGCTCAAAATTTGAGATGACAATCAACAAGTACTCCCAGACCAACTTTAGTCCAAGTAATATAGAAATTTTATCTCAAATATTGTAGAGATTTGCTTGAGATAAAAGGAAAGGAAAATATGACAATCCAGGTTTTTTGAATTACCTTCAATTTAAAAATAAAAAATAAAAAAATTATCTTTTAATTTTTTATATAGCTGAGGCATATGATCAACGACAAGGTCAGCCATATTTGTAGTTGATTAAAGCAATAAGATCCATGAGTGAGCTATTGACAATGCAAAAAACACCTAGTGGTCAGATGTGATTTCTGAAAGTTCCAATGAAGCAGAATCTCAGTTCACTAACAGTAAATCAGGCATGCTCAGCTTAATTATATCAGAAAGTCATATACCACTCAACGCGTCCATCATGCCAATTGGGGAAGCTCGGGTATTATTACTACAGGTTCCCGCAACACAAATGCAATACTACTGAAACTGGAAAGTATAATGTGACAAGGAACCAGGATATCTCGTTTTGTATTTGGTGTTTGGGTTCACAATAATAAAAGTTCCCATTACCTGCTTTTGGAACAAATCAAATTCATCTGAGCTCAGAGAACCATCACTATTTGAATCAAGGAGCTGCATCATTTCCCGGGCATCTTCCCCTTCAGCACCAAGCTCTTCCATAATTTCCATAAGTTCCTCAATGCTAATCTTACCATCTCCATTCTTGTCAAGAAGGTAGAATACTCGGTCTCTATTATCAATATGGATACCTTTGTGATTTGTGGTTGGAAGATCTTTAAGACGCAATGCTGCAAGTTCAGCTGCAGCCATCATAATGGCCTTGAGCCGCTTTGCCTAAGCATCAACAAATAACAAAAAAGTCTTAATCCAGTTTAGCTTCCACAGAATGTAATGTAAAATTATAAGCTTCATTCTACTTGACGGATGTGAAAATCTATAGTCATAAACTGCTCATGAATAGTGCTGCAAATGAAATGAACCATATTGACCAGGGTAGCAGATTGTTGGGTTTCAGCCTGGTCTTAGGAACTAACCCACTGCAAGAATCTCCAAGCTCAGCTCCCCCGGAATTGGACAAGCTCAAGCTTGGCTTTACTCAGCTTAGTTTCGATTAGACAAATAAAGGGAATAAAATAATACAGACTAAAAATATATTGAAAACTGAAGCAAGACTTGATTCGATGGGATAACAAATAAGAAACATGAGTAAACGTGCTAGAGACTCTGGTTAAGGTTTTTCGTTTACCTTCCCTGTCTTCAAAACAATTCTTGGAATACAGAGAAATCATTTAGAGTAAATCTACAGGTTTTATTGTGGGGTTGGGGGGTTGCATCAAAGAAGAAATGAAAGTAGGTCAAATGGCTTAAGAGCAGGTACATCTAGAATGAGAATGAGATTTAGAATAGATAGATTAGGGCCATTAGATCTCCACTGCTCCTATGTTTCAAAAGAATTAGACATGGAAAAGTTATAGCCTAACAAGAGGATAATATGTTTTTGCCAGCTGGCCCGTTAAGGAATGATGAATAGCTTTGTAAGCCTGAACAAGTCAAGCCCCAGCATGTCAAGGCCACTTAGGGTTCTAAAATGAGCCACTTTTCAGGTTCGTGCTTGGCTTGTTTACTTAGCGAAAGAGTCATGAAGGAGCATGTTACTGAGCCAATCCTTATATGTTCATAGATAAATCTGTTCATTACCACCCTATCATCTCTCAACCCTCAACCCCAATATACTGAAACTTCAAAGCTGAATGACAGATTAAATTCACAATGCACAGAGAAACAATACATCCTCAAATTTTGTGATTCTAACATGATATGCAAAAGAGAGATTGAATAGTTGGACATTGTATATGTCCAGGCTTTCTCACGCAATTAACACAAATAACTGATTTTAGTGCTTGTAACCGACGAATGGTTGATCTTTAATTAGAATTTTTTGGCCAAAAATGAAAATTTGTATGCAATTTCAATCAAATTACACAGTACTTACCTCTTCTGGATCAGTAAGACCACCCTTGTACAATGAATGGGATGCTATTCCACCATCCGCCAACGTATCCATCTCTGTAGTCCTTATTTGTATTTCCATTTGCGGTCTAGTTCTGCCATTGTCACTGACATCAACAGCCATGTGCAAACTCTGATAACCATTTGCTTTGGGATGGGCAATATAATCTTTTGACCTGTTGCGCATTTCTTTCCACAAAGAGCGGACAATTTCACATGCCCTGTAGCACGCTCTCTCTCCCACTTCTAATTCATTAATCCCAGAAGCAGGCTTCAATATGACTCGCAATCCTAAGATATCATTTACCTCCTCAGGCTTGCGTCCATGTTTTAACAGTTTCTTCATGGTGCTATAACGACTTTTATAGCGACCTTTGACCGAGATGTTATCAACCATATCCCCTAACAAGGGATCAGATTTCAATGATTGAAGCAACTGTTCCTTGTATACATCTGTCAAAGGCTTATTTTCTGTTTCATGGCTTCGTAACCATGTATCAACATAAAGGTATGAATAAGGAAACAAGTAACGGAACGAAAGATCCTCCAGCTCCAAGGATATGAAATTGGTTCCAAAAGCATGAGCCAGTGGAGCATGTATCTTCATAACCTCAAGAGAAAGCATTTGCTGTTTATACCTAGGCAGGAAATCTAGATGTCTCATCATATCGAGCTTAAGAACAAGATCCAAAATCACAGCTCTGACATCATAATACGTCAGGTAATACTTCCTTAAAGCAGCAGCGCTCTCATCATCCAATACTTCCACTTTTAAAGGAATGCCCTTCAGACGTAAGCTTTCATGCAATAAATGAGCAGTACCAGTGCCTATCTGATTTCTCACTTCATGCATGGATATGGCACCTGCCTCCAGAACTTCTCTCAGTATACCAGCTGAAATAACTTCAGCATCCATCTGCAGTCAAATTTAATATACAGACTTAAATAGCTACAAAAATTAAAGATGGCTTAGAACTTTCTCTCACAATGGAGTGCTTCTACTTTGACCTAAAAAGAAAAAAGAAATGGAAGTTAAGAAGCCGAGTATTAAGATCATATCTCCTAAGGCTTTTATAAAACAAGAGTGTACATTAAAAGATCAACTGAACTTTGGGAGGACCTGTACTGAAAAAAATGCATGAGTTCCCCCATAAAGCAAGAAAAATAATTAATAGGCAGCAAGTGAGATATCATAAAATAATAAGTAACGAGATGTCAAGTAGCATCATGCCATTTATGTAAATTTCTGAAACAGTATAGGACTAAGGAACACATTGGTTAGTTGTTTCCCTTCCTTTTTTCCCTTCTTTTTGGATGCATTCTGCTTCATTCCCTCTTAGTTTTCTTTATAGATTATTCCTTACTAGGGGTGCAACTGGGGTGGTTTGACATGACATATTGAGAGGTCAACTAGACCCTAACCTGAGGTATAGACTTCTCAACCCAAACCACCCGACCTCCAATCCAGCGATCCAACCCCAACCATATTTTCCTAAGCTCTAGTGGGCTCAGATTGGTCGGGCTAGTCTTAGGTTGATCAGGTTATGTTCGGGTTAGAGACTGGTTAAGGCTGGGTTGGGCTCGGGTTACCCACACAAACCACTTTATTATTACAATAATATAGGCCACTTCAGGTCGGGCTCATGTTGAGTCACCGAGTAGCACCCCTATTTCACAATCCTTAATAGTTTTGCTTTTACTGGGACTAGAATCCCATAAGCTAGAATATCCCTTTTTGAGGAGATTTTGTAACCCTTTAAAGGATTATGCTTGCTCAATTGATTTGTAAACATCCATCGTACAAAAAGGCACTTTACTCGAAGAAAAAATCTCAATTCGAGCAAAAGGAAGCCCATGGAATTAAATGCATTTAAGATGTGAGGCACTGGCACTCATTAGAATTTTTACTATGTTTCACAATAGCAATTGTCATGCTAATAAACATGTTCAAGGGGCTTCAAAATTATATTCTCAATGTGATTTTCTGATTTTTTATTTATTATTTAATAAAAAGGTTTCACGGTTGATCCTTTCCAAAAATTTGACATTTTGAAATCTTTTCCTATTCCACACCTAAATAGAGGGAAAATCAAAATTTTGATTAAAAAATAATGAGATTATCGAAGCCGAGCTGCTGCATAGAAGATGAGGTTCAAACCGTTCAATTCATCATTGCTGCTCGAACACCAATGCTCCTACATGCTAGTTATAGAGACTATAATTACAGCTAAAGTTGAACGACAAACCATAGTCAGTACCTGCTATTGGGAAATTTTATGTTGAAATTAATTAGTAATTGCTTCCTTCAAATGTACTTCAAAGTTGATCCTTGTATTAATTAACCCACTAATCAATCACCTTAATTAACATCATGTTTAACCAGAATTTTTGAAGTACCAAGGTTTACTGATTCTGAGATGGAGTGGTCCGTCTTAAACTACTTTATAAGATTTGATTCAGCTAAGCACAAGAAGGGCATTTGTAGAATAGCATTCTCTATTTCAAATCACATACAAGAAATTACAAATTCAAACTACCACAGATTATATATATATATATATATATATATATATATCTAATATAAGAAAGTACAGATCCAAACTACTACAGATTATCTATATACATATATAATCAAAGAAAAACATGGAAGAAAAACTTGGAAGGGAAAGGAAGCAATTACATACAGATCATCTACTACACGAAGAGTAGTGAAGTGATTGAAGTCTGTTTTTACCTGAAGATCAGCGAGCATTACAGCTATGGACAATGCTCTGGAGAGAGGAGGACGACCGTCAGGAGCGAGAGGCAGGGTTTGCAAGATGGGGATAGAGAGCTTGAGAGACTTGAAGAGGATGTCAGAAGAGCTCGTCGACAACACGATCGTCTTCATCCTCTCCGTCAGCTCGTTAAACGCTCCCACCAGCTCTACCACCATCTTTCCTCCCGGCTGTTCCGGTGCCACAACCACCGAAGACGGCGGTCCCACAGCGCATATTCTAAGCCCGGCGAAGGCGATAAGGCGGCTCCGAATCCGCATGTCCGGAAAGAAAATGGAATTTTGACGGCGGCTAATAGAAACCCTAGTTGTTGGAATTGAATGGAGGTTGAAGTCGTGAGCATAGAGCTCCATTTTTGTTTACTCACCGGCCAAGTCCGTCGTCGACGACACTATCGAAGTGTGAGTAATACTACCCACTTCTAACACAAGTGACGTATTTTGTGGTTGAAGATAGGCCACGTAGGATTTTAAACCTTACTCAAAATTTGATCAAAATAATACTCCTAAACTCCTTTAAGAGGAGTGACGAAACAAAAATAATAAAAAAATTTCTAGGCGGGCATACATGTACACCTAGATCGAATTTTGATCCGAATTCAATTCGATTAGGCGGATATGGATTGAACGAAAAATTCAATTATCAGTTTATGATCCAAATTCGATTACTTACCAATTGAACAAATCGAATATGAATTTTGTCGATCTGATCCGATAATAATCCGATCATAATTATCTCGAAGTCCACTTCTTATATATATTATAAGAGTCAGCTCAAACTCATCTCCAAGTCCAAAAATCAAAATTTTTTTACTGGGGACTGCTTCTGTTGTATTAAATGTGTATAAAATATTAAAGTATTATATAATAAATACGGTATATATTATAATAATACTGTATATACTGTATATTGGTCGGAATTGTCTAGTTTGCCCTTAAATATTGTTTGCAATTGTCCATTTAGCCCTTACATCATTTTTAACGAAAGAAGGGAAGAAGAAGGTTTTAATGAAAGAAGAAGAAGAAGAAGGGAAGGTCTGAGGCTTTAGGGTTTTGGAGGTTTGTCTGAAACGAAGAACAAGGGAAAACGAAGAAGAAGGGAACAAGGGAAGACGAAGAAGAAGGTGTGAGGCTTTAGGGTTTTGGAGGTTAATCTGAAACGAAGAACAAGGGAACAAGGGAGGTCTGAAACGAAGAACAAGGGAACAAGGGAAGACGAAGAAGAATGGAAGGTCTATGCTGCTTCGTCGAAGGGTTGGGTGTGAGGGTTTTCGTAGTTGGTCTGAAATTAAGGTCGTCTGAATTCAATTGTTGTGGCTTTGTTGAGTTCATTAAATTTGTTTATAGGCTTAAATCGAATTTAGGTTTTGAAATGGGTAGGTTGAAGACTCTAGCTCGTAAGAAAGGGAAAATAAAAATTATACCTGTTCCAGAGAAGAAAAGTATCCATAATCCTTCTCCTATTCTGAAATTTAGTCGTGAGGTTGGTGAGAGTTCTAGAATGGCCTCTGAGAGTGATTCTGATTATGTGCCACCTGCAGAGGAGGTTAGTGAAGATGAATATGAAGATGAAGGTGAAAAAGAATTTGAGGTGGAGGCAAACACTACTACATCCTCGAAGAGCAAAGAAAGTATGTCGCGTCGTCCTGGTGAAGTGTTCCTTTTGTTCAAGTATGTATGTATTAATGTTAATTTTGTAATTGAAATTTAGTTTAAAGTTTAGTTCCATTTTTATTATCATTGGAATGCAATATATTATGTTAGACAGTTAGTTTTTCATAATTCCCAACTTCAAATAATTATATGCATTGGTCATTGTGTAGGAACAACTTGGGAAGTTATATTAATTTCACACGCGAGAACATAAAGGAAAACCTGTGATGTATATTGATAATTTCTAATTTTTTAAAAATATAATCAAAAATAAAGGAGCAGAGTTGGGTTATGTTAGCAGGACAGTTAGTATATGTATAATTATCAGCTTTAAATAATTATATGAATTGGTCATTACAATTGGTGATCAATTTAGACTTCTTAAGTAATGGAAAAGTAGGAACAAATTAGGAAGTTATATGAAATTTTTGGTTTTCCGTAAATGGAAAATATATGAATTTGAGAGTGGAGACATAAAAAGTAACTTGTGATGTATATGTATTTAAATCTTTATACTTGGTTTATTTATGGTTGATCAGAGCGGCATTTATAAGGAAATACCGAGAAGAGCATAGCTTGACGGAAAAAATCAAGATGTCTTTAAAAAGACAAATAGAGACTGAAACTAGGCATGCATGGAAAAATGATGAGCACTGAAGAGAAGGCCTCATATTATGAGGAAAAAAGTAGACTTGAAATGGAGTTCCAAAGGTCCGGATATAAGTCTGCGAATAAAACAAGGAAAAAGGTAATGTGTTAAATCGAATTGTTTGTATTTAGTGCATATAACATACACTTGAAAATTGAATGATAATGTTATTAGTTTTTTAATGGTATAGAGGAAGGCAGAATACAAGATTAAGGCTCGTTTCCATAGAAGCTCCATTTCGAAATTCATAGAAATTGTTGCGAAACTGAACTCTAAGAAGATGAAGGATATGGAGGATATCGGTTTTGGATTTTTATTGGACCTCAAGTGTTCCCATTTGTCGACTCTGTGACGGCCCTGGTTTTTAGGCCAGCGCATCATGTGATGAACCAACGTAGATTCAATAACGAATCCAGAATGCGGAAGCAAGAAACAAGACAACGGTCTCCCAAGGCATGACACACCTCTAGGACACTTTGATAACCTTCCATGAGATCGTGGAACTCAATGAGAACTGACGCGAAAGCAAAAGATCGAAAAAATAATAATTAAGCCCCTAGGGGCAAAAGGGTCATTTTACATGAAAATGACGTCCCTAGAATGTATATTATTCCCGAAATACATCCGTGACTTCCCATGAAGTCACGGAACTCAAAAGAAAATAGCAGAAGCGGAAAGTAAGAAAAACTGGACAAAAATAACCCCAAGGGCAAAATAGTCATTTATGAAACTATGGATTCTGGTGCCATCGAGCACACCACTGGAAAGACAATGAAAAACTAATCAAGATGGACTCAAGAATCGCATGATTCGGAGTCCGGACGAAGGAGAAACGGCATGACGAAGAAAAACGAGCACTTAAGGCAAAAAGGGTAAACTGGTAATTTTTCAGAATGATCCGGGTGCAACTGAGTATACCGTTGGAAAGACAGCGAAAAATTAGTCAAGTTCAAAAAAAGTTTACTCAATTTGGAGTCCGGACGAAGGAGAAACGAGGGTTTGAATTTGAGACGTCGCGACAACCCGATGAAGGCCATGGCAGCCCCATGCACGCCCGGCGCCCATACGCGCACCCATTGGCGCCCCATGCGGCGCCAAAGGGAATGGCTAGTGGCATCCCTTAGCTGCTGCAATATATTTTTTTTTTATCTGTTTAGAACTGAGGATTGAAATGGAAGCCGAAACGAATTTTTCTGGAAAAATACGAAGAAGAAACCCCCCCTAAAATCGAGTTTTCTACCTGACTTTGCGGAAGGAAACGAAAAAAACTCACTAAAAAATTTCCAAAATGCCCTTACATCAGAAGAGGTCAAGAGGGCAAAAAAAAACTGCTACAGTAACTGTCCACAACTGAGAGCAAAAATAGGCTATCAAACGAATTTTTCTGAAAAAATACGAAGAAGAAACCCTTCTCGAAATCAAATTTTCTACCCGACTAAGCAAGAGAAAAATGAAAAAAAACACACTGTAAAATGGCTAAAATGCCCTTAGAATCTAAATCAAGATGCTTACATAGAATCATTCCTAAGTCGTATTAACATGAATCAAGATATCTATGAAATTGAACAAGGTTGGAATAATCAAAAGAACGCGACAAGTTTATAAATTAACATGAATCACATTATCAATGTAATTGAACAAGGTTTGGAATAATCTATACAATACGACAAGAATGATACTTGGATACAAGGATCACATTATCAATGCAGTTAACATGATTGGAACATTCTAATTAACACGACAAGAAGAAATCAAGGATAGGACATAATATCTATGCAATTAACAAGATTAGAGCATTCCACATAACACGACAAATTTTAAATCTTCAAGGAATAGTAACTTGAAATTTAAAGAATGAAATCAACCAATGTGGATACTCAGATATCGCCAAGATTAAAACCGTACTCTTGGGATCACTTTAGGGCTACTAACCCATGGGTACCTTCCCCTAATGCACACTATAGTATAGGGAGCTCTCTATCTCCCGTACTAAAACCAAGTCTTAGCCATGTCAATTCTTGATTGACATCCCAAGTTCCAAAATCAACAAGTTGTGCACATCAAGATAGTATCAAGATACAAGTAATGCATTAACCACATTTCATGCACAACCAAGATTTTGGAAACACACAAGTCATGCCCTAAATTCTCAACTATTATGGCATGTGAAATGTCAAGAGATTATGGTATGCATCTACATAGACTACAAACTAGGATTTAAAACATAAGGAATCCATTAATGTAAATATACCACAAGTATAAGATTAATGATTTAATTATTTACTAAGTAATACATGGATAATTAAACTATTTCAAGACAATTGTGCTAGTTCATTAAACACATTAATGGAGTCAAGTTACAATAAGTCTAGATACATGATAAAAAGTTAAAAGCCCCATGAAATATGAGTTACAACCATGTGAATTAAGTTCCATATAAAGAAAATAATTAAACATAAGTTTCAAAACTTATCCGATTATTCTCAAATTGATACATGTGAAGGAACTTGTCAAGGAAATTATGAATACCAAGTTAGAACTTAATCAAACTCATGGAACCATTGAATATGTTTTAATTAATTCTTTTAATTAAAATCTCTAGATTTCAAAACTCATCCAAATGCTCTCAAATTAAAGTATGTTATATAACATGCCAAGACTTAATTTAATAGCCTAATACATGTGATTTCCATGTAAGCTACAACCATGATAATTAAACATTCATACAAGAAAAATAATAAATGAAAGGTTTTAAAACCTAATCAAATATTCCCGATTTAATATATGTGAAAGTGTATGGCATGCACATCAATAATATCAAGTCGGAAATCCAATGGAGTGAATAGTGCACTTGGAATAAATTAATTAATCAAATTAATTAATTATCTCTAGATTTTAAAACATCTTCGAATGCTCTCAAATTCACATATGTTGAAGAGTATAATAGGGCCTAATATAATATGACATTACATATTGATTTCAAACTAGATAAGGTCACATGAATTAAATTTTCATTCAAGAAAATATTAAATAAAAGCTTCAATACTTGTCCAAATGCTCTCAATTTAATATATGTCAATGATCATATTAAGGTGTAATATAATAGCATGCCACAAGTT